AGGTTGAACAAAAGTCTTGTAATGCAGAAAATTTACAACAACGGATTGAAAGAGAGGTCCTAATGGTGCATTACAATTTTACAGAATATGCGATCAGACTCAGAGGTTTGCAGGAAAATAACAGAGATGATTTAAGGAAAATATCTTCTGAAATTCTGGCTGGGATTTTAAAGGTTCAACCTGAGGAAGTGTTTTGTAGGATTGACAGAGTGTTCAGAATAAACTCCTGGATTGCAAAGCAAAGGCAATTGCCTAGAGATGTGGTGATTTATTTTACAGATAAAGAAATTAGGAATAATGTTGTGCAAAATTCCTTCAATTCTACTTTGCAATTGTATGGAAGAAAGATATGGATCTACAAAGAGCTCCCCCCCAAGATGTTAACGGAAAGGAAGAAATTTGGTTTTCTGGTGACTGAGTTAAAATACAGAAATATTCCATTTAGGTGGGATGCCCCAGTTGGCATAATATTGAGATATCAAGGAGAAAGATACCAATTAGATACTGTTGAAAAAGTGGAAGAATTTTATCAAAAATTTTTGAAAATGAACTTAACATCTATAGGCACAATACAGGATAAGCAGAAGGAGTTGGAAATAAAGGGAAAACATCGAATTACAGAGGTTGCGGTAGACAAATTGCCTTTGGATTCTCTCGATACCCCAGCTGGATTATCTACAAATATGAGAGAAGCGGCATCTGATTTCAACGTGATGATTCACCAAGTTAAAGACAAGTATGGAAATCAATTAGCTGATATACAATTGGCAAAAAAGAAATATGAGATACAAAAACAAAACCAACAAGATCAACTTATAAAGCAGAATGAAAACCGATCAGTTGATATACAACTTGTAGAAAGGAAAACAGGATGGAAATGAAACCCACAAAAAGAAAAGAAAAAAAGAAATAGGTCTCATAAAAACAGAAATTTCTAAATTAAGCAACGGTGAAGCCAGTGATTTTAAAAAAATGAATGAATATGTGAAAAGATAGTGGAGGCGAAGTATTGGTTAATATCATCCTGAGGACAGTGACAGACCTCTGCAATGCCGTAATTTTGGGATGTGAAAAGAGCCTTAAACTGTTGGATTTGAATTATCTATTTTGGATTTCTTTCTTGTATTGATAAATATATTATAACTATTCTGAGCTACAAGGCAAGAGAGTTACGTTGAGGAATGCAGAAGATCTGGTTGTTACCCATTAGGATGATGGGAATTAATAATCCTGATGAAAGCCACAATTACAACTATATGGAATATAATCATAATGTCACTCGGGTGGTTGTTTTTACTTTTATATATATATGAGGATATTCATTACTGATGGGGGCAGATGATGACTGAAGACTTTGAACAAACTGTTGCACCAGGATGCTACGTTACCCAATTATGGATGAGGGACTCAACAATCCAGTGGAAAGACATCAAAGAAGATATTATATGGATTATAAATTTAAAGTTATTGTCTTTTCTTTTTTTAAATAACGGAATATATACATATATATATATTTTAGCAGAGTGGGCAGTGGATTAAAGATATTAAGAATTGTTGTGCATGGTAATTTTGTAGGAAAGTGGGTGGAAATATGTTAGTCTACTGATGGATTAGCTTAAGAAAAGGGATGTTTAAGTGATATATTTAGGGCAGTGGAGGAAATGGATAGAGTTGAATAAATGTTAAATTAGGATTTATGGGGAAGGCTGCTTTGAAATGTTATATTAATATACACAAAGAATAAATGTTAAAGTAGGATCTATTATACAGTCTTAAAGTGGAAGGTTGCTTTGAAATGTTGTAATAATATATAGATATAAGTTTTGGGGAGGACAAAAAGGGCAGATTATTGCTAAATTGGGAGTTATAATAATATTATGCTAAACTAGAAGTTATCATACAATGTTATAGCAGACTGCTTTTTTTTTGAAATGTATGGTAAAAGGGGAAAGTAACAATATTAATAATATTTTTAGTAAGTAAGGGTCGGTATATAGAGGAGGGAGTAGGGCGATGTTAAAATATTATGTAATCTGTTATGAATTAGGTTTTTAGTGTGAAGAAGTCACGGGGGGATGGGTGGCGAGGGGGGGTTAGGGAGGAGGGGGGGAAGGAAAAAAGGGGGGAAAATTTGTATTTGAAAACTTTTTCAATAAAAAAAAAACAAAAACAAGTGGAGCAAATATGACACAATAGTTACATTACCAAGAACTGGATATCCTTCCAAAATTGATGAAAAAAAGAAAACTGGTCCAAGAGGCTGCCAAGAGGCCCACAAAAACATTAAAGATGCTGCAAGAATTTCTGGCAAGTACTGGTTGTGTGCTACATATGACAACAATCTAACATGCCTGGGCAGTGGGTAGGGTGGTAAGATAGAAGCCTTTTCTTACAAAGAAAAACATTCAAGCCTGGCTACATTTTGCAAAAGCCTACATCAATGGTTTCATGAGCTCAAGTTTGAACTTTTTGACCATAATTCCAAAAGTATGTTTGGTGCAAAAGCAATATTGTACAAAACCAAAAGTACACCATACCCACAGTGAAGCATGGTGGTGGCAGTACTGTGCCCTGGGGCTGTTTTTCTTCAGTTGGAACAGGGGCTTTAGTCAAGGTGGAGGGAATTATGAACAGTTCCAAACACCAGCCAATTTTGGCACAAAACATTCAGGCCTCTGCTAAAATGCTGAAGATGAGCAGGAATTTCACCTTTCAACATAATGATCCAAAGCATACCTCCAAATCAACAAAACAATGGCTTCACCAGAAGATCAAAGTTTTGGAATGGCCCAGCTAAAGATCTGAGACCTGAATCATATTGAAAATCGGTGGAGTGACCTGAAGAGGGCTTGGCACAGGAGATGCCCTCGCAATCTGACAGATTTGGAGCATTTTTGCAAGGAAGAGTGGGCAAAGTTTCCCAAGGGAAGATGCACCATGCTGATAAGCTCCTATTCCAAAAGACTGAATGCTGTCATAAAATCAAAGGTGCTTTAACAAAGTGTTACTTTAAGGGTGTGCATCTTTGTGCAATCACGTTATTATGTTTTTATTGTTTTATTCCCCCCCCCAAATTGTTTGTTTTTCAACTGAATTGTACATCTTATGCATAAAAGGTGAAAAAAAATGTTTTTTTTTTTTTGCGATTTTGTGAAAAAAAAGTCATTTTATCTTAGTCTGGTTTTTTTTATATCTCAAAAACCTGGCATTTTAACAGGGGTGTGTAGACTTTTTATATCCACTGAATATATACCTACCAGTATATAAATAGCTGTACACATCCAACTTGATTCTGCATGCTAAAATATTCTTTAGTACTTTTTTGATGTGCAGAATAAGATATTGCAAGACTGTTCTACTTTTTATGTAATTTCTACATGATATTGTTAGCTGTCTAATAACATATGCAAAAAAGTCTGTCACCCTAACCTGACAATCTGTATCTGACAATGAGTTCCTAGCTATCCAAATTCTAAGTTGCAATATGTTTACTAATCTTTTTTAAAAAATGATCACTCTGAGTGTTTGCAGTTATAGGCATCTCTTAACTTAAACAAGCGGGAGAGAAAATAGACCTCTTGGCATAGAAATTAGATGTGTACAATTCCCAATCCTATTACACTGTAGCAGTTTGAGGCTTTCAGATGTACTGGACTACAAATCCCAGCCAACATAGGGACTCTAGTACCAGTGCAACTTCTAGGGTTATCTTGTTGAGCAAGGCTGAATTAGAACAGAACTTTATAATCCATACTGCCCCACTAAAGTGCTTTCTCCCTGGCTTGAGTGAATCAGCGGGTGAAGGAACAATTCCTTTATGCAGAAGGCATGAATAATTTAGCAAATCGCTAATCAGTGTAGGATATCCCATTAGTCTGAGGCACTTCCCTTTCCATCTACTTCCTTCAGTCAGTGAGACTGCTGGTCTAAGCAACACAGAAATGTGAACATTTCTTTCAGGCATCATGTTTAAGATAGGCAACTAAATTACATATGCCACAACATGATTCCAAAATGCCCAAACATTGGCTTATTTTCTAAATAGAGAGTTCCTCCAATAACACCATTTAACAATCTGATTATTTGGGTGGACTCAAAATAATCAGAATGAAATACATTGAAAAATATACCCTTGAGCCCAACCCCTGGCCTGATGAAGAAATCTAAATCTAAATTCTGCATGACACCTTTCATTCTTCTTCCGCACGACACCCTTCATTCTTTTTTTCCTCAGGGCTAACCACCCATCTCCTTCGCTCTCTCCTCCTAAGGCTCAGTTCACAAGACTCAGGAAGCAGCATTAGTTCACAAGAAGTAGCATTATTATCGATGATTCCATCCAAAACTGGAATTTAAATTGAAAAGCATTGCATGATGCAAAATAGCTGTCAATTGAGAATCTCAATATTTGGAGGAGATAGTAATGGATGACAGGGAGTGGGGCATAGCTTCTTGATTCCATTTTTCTTTTCAGTCTTCTCCCCCACCAAAGAGAGAAAGTGACCAAACAAATCTAAGCAAAACAATTGATACAAGGAGAGATTTGCAACCCATGCTAATATAGAGATTCTTAGGGAAAACTGGGTTACCATGAGGGCTGAATTTCTTGGGATTACACCAATTACATCAAAAAAAGTGGTACTGTGGCCTAGAGGTGGAGCTCTTGCCTCACAATCAGGAGGCTATGAGTTCGATCCTAGGTAGAGGCAGTTATTTCTCTCTCTGGGCACATTGAGATTATATCTGTTGAATATAACTCCGCATTGGTGACAGGAAGGGCATCCGGCCAGTAAACACTCAGCTCCATTCAGTTGCACAGACTCCACCCGCAAGGGATTATGGGATCATTAAAAGATGATAATGATGACACCAATTACATCGAAAACTTGTAAGAAGCTTGCAGATGTTACCTCAGAGTCCTTTTACTTATCTGTCAGAAATCATGGAGGATGGGCACAACCTGTACAAGAAGACTAGAGAAGAACAAAAGTTGATCCTACCTTCAAAAAGAAGAAAAAAAAGATGCTCCACCTAAGAGAGACTGGTCAGCTTCATGTCAAAATCCAGCAAACCCTGGAATAGATTAATTAAGCAATTGGTTCAAGAGTATTTAGACAAGAATACATTGCTTGGCAGGACTCTGCATGAATTACCAAAGGCAAACCATGTCAAGCCAACGAGATCACAAATAACATCCCCATTATCTGAAACTCCAAGTTACAGTTCATTGTAGCCTCTGAAATCAAAGAATCTCCTTTGAGGAGGAGGAAAAAAAAATAGAGGAGGGTGTTCACCAAGAACTCTCTAATGATATGAGGTTAATAAGTTAATGGGATGCTGAACACATACATATTTCTTCCTCTGACTTTAACTCAATACTGGAAAGGAAAGAATTTAAGAGTATAGCTGAGCTTTTGAAATCAGAAAGCCAAGTAGTGTCTTACTGTTCTGACTACAAGCTTGAAAGGAGGTCTTTTGGACAGCTGTTCTTTGAAAAAGTAAAAATAAATTGAATCATGAGAGGAATATCAGAAACTACAGTATAAACTAAAGGGATTAAAATCTATAGCAATTTTTGAAGGAGTTATACCACTCCAATATTTTCTCAAGTAGCCAAGATGAATACTGTCCTAACATGCAGTAAAAAAAATTAAGAAAAGCTGAAAAGCAACAGACTAAGACAGATTATGGGAGTTGAAGTCTAATTCATCTGGTGGACAGTAAATTGAGGAAATGATCCACCAGATTTATTTTTTTCCAATGGTCATAGTTGGTCTTTATATATAGATACCACGATCCCTAAATTATAGCAATGGCATTTAGGTTATATACCATCTCATAGCACTTTACAGCATTCTTTGGGCGGTGCACAATGTAGAAACATTATTTGCATATTGCCGCCAAGAATCTAGGTCCTCATTTCACTGACCTCGGAAGGATGGAAAGCTGAGTCAACCTTATCTCGTCAGGATCGAACTCCAGACTGAGGGTAGAGTTTGCCTGTAATACTGCACTTTAATTATTGTGCCATCAGGCTCCATTTTATGGCACAAAAGTATAATTTCACTCAACTAGTATGTTTTCTGCCTAAGTGACTGATAAAAGGAACTATTGCTAAAATTTTCTTCAAACATTTTCTTGATATTGAAAACTCATAACTGGGGTAAGGTGGATCTTAACACTAAGCCTAATACTTGTCTAGAATTATAAGTCTGGAAGGGACCTTGGAGGTCTTCTAATTCAACCCCCTGCCCAAGGCAGGAATCCTTATACCATCCGAGACAAATGGTTGGCTAATATTTTCTTGATAACCTCCAGCCGTGGAACATCCACAGCTCTAGGAGGCAAGCTGTTCCATTGATTAATTGTTCTGTCAGGAAATTCCTCCTCATTTCCAGACTGAATCTCCCTCTGATGAGTTTTCACCCATTCCTTCTTGTCCTGCCATCAGGTACTATGGAGAATAAATCACTGACGTCTTCCCTATGAAGCTCGTTCAGTATTGGAACACTGCTATCAGGTCTCCCCTAAACCTTATTTATTAGGCTAAACATACAGAGTACCCTTGGTCATTCGTCATACAATTTAGCCTCCCAACCCCTTATCATCTTTCTTGCTCTTCTCTGAACACTTCTTAGGGCCTCAGCAACTTTTTTTGTATTGTGGTGACCAGAACTGGATGCATTATTCCAACTGTGGGTTCACTAGGGCAGTATAGAGCTGTATTATCACTTTCCACGATCTTGATGCTATTCCTTTGTTGATGCAGCTTATTACGATGTTGGCTTTTTCGTAGCTGCAGGCTCATACATAAACAGTGGTTTATTGGGCCCCTTGGATCCCTCTTACAGACACTAGTGTTGAGCCATATACTGCATATCCTGTACTTGTGCCTAAGCGCAGGATCTTACTTTTCTCACCACTGAACAGCATCTTGTTGGATAGGGCCAAATGCTCAACTCAGTCAAGGTCCTTCTGAATCTTGACTCTATCTTCTAAAGTGTAAGCAATTCCCCCAAGCTTGGTGTCATCCGCAAAGTTGATGAGGTATATTTCCTCATATATTTCCCACATACAACAGAGAGACCAACTATTTGGGAAAGTTGAATTTAATCAGAGGTAACAGAAAGAAGTCTCTTCTCTCTTTATTCTAGAATTCGTTTACAGGTGTCATTCTTTTTGGTGTCTAGGAAGCAGAGATATTTCTGTACGAAATTCACTTTTAATCCTCAGTGTAACATAGCAGAAAAAAGAAAAATTTCAATATATTCCAATTCATAGGAATGGACCTCATTTGAGGCAGAGATAATAAACAAATGCTTTGAACTGGTGGACAAATTTGGAATTTTGAGCACATGTATGATCATTCTTGTACAGTGGTTGCTAATAAATAATAGGAAGTTTGTTCACACAGCAGTTGCCATGAGGGCAGAGACAGTCAAACAATTATTATTATTTATTATTATTATTTATTAGATTTCTATACCGCCCTACTCCCGAAGGACTCAGGGCGGTGCACAGCCAAACAATAAAAACACATACAATACAAAATTTAAAAAATAGAATAAAATCAAATTAAATAATTTTGGCCCCGACAAATTTAAAACCCCAAACTTTTAAAACCAATTTAAAATTGAATATATAAATACTAAAAAATATTTAAAATTTTAAAAATCTTTTATAAAAGAGGGGGAAAATTAGGCCAGGCCGGCCTGGTGAAATAGTAAGGTCTTTAAGGCGCGGCGGAAGGTGCGCAGATCCGGGATCCTCCGTATCTCTGGGGGGAGCTCGTTCCAGATAGTAGGTGCCCCCACAGAGAAGGCTCTCCCCCTGGGGGCCGCCAGTCGGCATTGTTTGGCTGACGGCACCCGGAGGAGCCCCTCTCTATGGGAGCGTACCGGCCGGTGGGAGGCTATTGGTGGTAGTAGGCGGTCCCGCAAGTACCCGGGTCCTAAGCCATGGAGCGCTTTAAAGGTGGTAACCAAAACCTTGAAGCGCACCCGGAAGACCACCGGGAGCCAGTGCAGCTCGCGCAGGAGAGGTGTTACATGGGAACGCCATGTCGCTCCCATTACCACCCGCGCGGCCGCACTCTGCGCCAGTTGGAGCCTCCGGGTGCTCCTCAAGGGGAGCCCCATGTAGAGAGCGTTGCAATAGTCCAGGCGGGAGGTGACAAGGGCATGAGTGACCGTGCGTAAAGAGTCCCGATCCAGAAAGGGACGCAACTGGCGAATCAGGCGAACCTGATGAAAAATCCTCCCGGTCACGGCCGTCAAGTGCTCAATACCCATGTATCTAAAGCAAAGTAATAAGATCACTGCTTTCCCTAACCTTCTAGAATGCTCTCTAACACCCCACTCATTTTTTTTTCTGGGCAAGTAGAAATATTTATATACAAAGCAATGTAGCCACCTCCTACTTTCATCTTTTAAGAAAACTTGTAGGACCCATGCATTTTTGTAGATAAAAATGACAATGGCTGGCATTTTGCTTCTCTCAGTGGAGACTGATATTTTCTCAACGAGCATTATATGGGAATATTGTGTGTGCACATGCACATGCACACATGTACAGTAGTGACCAAGTGTATATTCCTAATTCCCATCTACAATTCCAAAATACATTAATTAGCTTACATTGCCAATTTGCTATTGTCCATAATTGGAATTAATTATCATACAATGGAAGCAATTGTGATTGATTGATGATATGTCCATTAAGTTAGTATTGACTCTTGGAGACCACATAGATAAATTTTCTCTATGAGCAGCTGTCCCTATTCGGGTCTTCTAACAGTGGACCTTTTGCCACCTAACTGACTCCATCCATCCTGTTGCTGATCATCCTCTTTATTTTTCCTTCTACATTTCCCCAGCATTTGAGTCTTCTCCAGACAGCTAAGTCTGTACATAATGTGTCATAAATATGATCATTTGAACATGGTCATTTGTGCCTCAACGGAAAATTGTGCCTCAAGAGAAAATCATCTGGGTTGATTGTTCAGTGATCCACCTTGTTTGGCTCCCAAGGTATTCTCAAAAATCTTCCCCAACACCAATTTTCAAAAGTGTGAATACATTTTGTACTCCACTTCTATCCTTTTATCATGAAGAAATTATGAGACAACCTTAGTAATAAAATTGGTAAGAGAACCTAAATTCTTTTCTCCATTAAAAAAGATTTCTTTCTTTTTGTTTAAATGCAGGGATCGCTTTTTCTTCCACTCAAAAGTCAACAGTGAGATTGTAAGAGTTGTACTTTAGCAGATGAGGAACATACCAGGTTACCTTCCTTGTGTGTGTTATGTTAGGAATACACAGACGCCACAAAAGGCACACCCAGCGATATAAACAAATTGTGTATTATTATCAAAAAGGACAATATTCCAGCTGTGCTGTTACTTTTCAAAATATATATCTATGTAATGTTGCCCTTTATCTTTGTAACAAACCAAGGTAAGTCTCACAAGTCTGTATCCTAAAAAAGAATATAGAACAGAATCTGTGGGAAATCTTTTAGATACCATTTCTAGGCATCTAGCCTGATCAAAGAAAACCTTAAAATTGCAAATCAATGTCCATAAGAACTCAGACACATCAAAGACCACAATGCTATCTCCTATCTTATGATAACAGAACTCCTTTTAATAATGCAGAAACACTAATTCACTAATTAACCTCTTATATTAAACAATCTGCAAAATACTATTTCAGAATTTAATCTTTTTAACGTGGCAGGTAGATTGAGTGGCTAAACTTCGACCAAAAAGAAACTGCTTAAAAAATATTACTCTGGTTGTCAAAGTCAACAGCTTTGGGATTCTCATCCCATCAAAGGGATGAGAATTGTAATTTGTTCTGCTTTACTATTTTTGTTCTGGTGGGTTGCTTTTTTCTTTTTTTTTTTTTTAATATGTGGACTAAGTCTACCCAAGTGCAGCATTTGTTTTTTTTTTTACATTTCCTGCCAAAACTGGATGAGAATTCAAGCTATTTTGTTGTTGCCAAATTTGAGCAGTGTGATTTTGGAGACTGAAAAACAAGTGGGCAAAGGCGACCTGTTTTGCTCCATAT